TCTCTCTCTCTCTCTCTCTCTCTCTCTCTCTCTCTCTCTCTCTCTCTCTCTCTCTCTCTCCACCAAGCAGCGATAGTCACCGGTATCCGCTTGCTGAGTGGCAATGGGCAGGCATTCAACACCGACATGCGAAGCCGTGACGGCCACCCGTCTCTCTCTTCACCAAGCAGCGATAGTCACCGGTATCCACTTACCGAGTGGCGATGGGCAGGCGTTCAACACCGACATGCGAAGTGGCGACGGTTACGCACGCAACCTAGAAAACCCAACGCATGCAAAAACCGGTCGACGTACCACGCATGCGACGAAGGCCTTCTCCGACGGACGCGAAGCTTCGGGACAGGCCGCGGCGTCACCAGAAGGGCCAAAAAAAAAAACACTTCGTCGCACTTTCCCCGGTTCACCAACAAAATTCACAGGCCTCCACGTCATGGAAGAACCAAAAAAAAACACATTGCACTTTGTCGAGTTCCCCGACATGATTCACACCCCGAGCGCCCGCCTAACAAAAAATCAGCCGCCGCGTTCCGGCCAGTTCCCCGTGGGCCCGCTCTACCCAACCGCCGACTTTCCCGACACTGGGCAGCGGGTCTCCGTGGGAGCGTCACGCGAGACCCGCTGTACGCTTTAAGAGTGTTAGGGATATTCGCTGAGTTACCTAGACTACCGTTCAAGCGGTATCGACAACATTCACACAGATTGTACACATAATCTAAATCTACTTTGATTAGTTCTCTTACAGCAGCTTCGAAGAGAACTAGCTATGGTAGAACACTACAGTTCTAGTCTACGTTCTCTGTGAGGTGTCAGCAGTCTGTCAACCAACTAATCAAAATAAAAACAGACTAAGTAAGCAGATGTATGCACAATGGGTATAGTTGTGTCTGACAGTTGAGTCTCAATTGGAATCTTCCTCCCCTGTATCCAACGTGCCTATAGCCATCATCAAGCGGCCCACCCATGTGCCCAAGGCATATGCTTATGACCAGAGCTGCCCTTTATTTACCCTCGTGTGCAACGAGCCTTACCTATGACTGATCTGGCTGATCAAGACGCAGTTTAAGGACAGCCCCAACGGTCCTCAGGAATTATTTAACGTCGCAATAAGGACGACGATTACAGCCAGTGGACAGATCAGACACCCGCCAAAAATATTTATAGACTGTCTGGATAGCGTCTGCAAAGGACTGGTCAGATCGCACACCCCTTCTATCAGCGCAGCAAAGAGCCTCAAAGGACAAAGGAGCATGGCCTGTGTTTACCACTCCCATGGGTTGGCATGCTGACTGTGACCTGTGCTTCGACCAGGGCCCTTCAGAGGCACCGCCCTCTCCTGCCAGATGCGCCATAGGGAAGAATGTCGTCTCTCAAGGTAAAGTGCTCAGGACTCCTCACACAAAAGAGAGGACACTCAAGGTTGGACTCACTCCTCACGGTAAGAAGAGATTGAGAGGGTAGATAAGGTAAGGGAACAACGTACCCGGAGATAGCTGCCCCCAACCACAGATTTCTCACCAATTGGGCCCACGTGCATTTCGATGACCGGTTGTAGCTTCGGTACCACCCACAACGCGATGCAGTGCCAACTCAGCCAAAATGCCACATCAGCATGCTGTCATCATCATACATACACACGCTGTCGCCACAACTCCCACGTTGTCGCCACAGCCTTCCAGCGGCTGGCCCATCTACCTGGGCCCCGCTATATCAAGCCAGCGCCAAAGTATCCTTACTGCAGAGAGGCATCGTCAGCGCACCAAGTAACAATGTCGCCAGCGCCAGGTCAGTGGCGATTTAATCCATTTCTCGTTGCTGCAGTGTGGTGTGTGTGTGTGTGTGTGTGTGTGTGTGTGTGTGTGTGTGTGTGTGTGTGCGTGTTTTAGATTTTCCCCACAACAGCCCCAATTCCACCCAGGTGAATAGATTCAGAATCAAAGCAGTCTTTGTTCTATTGCAGACAACGACAGCATTTGAGATGTCCAACATATTAAAGCAATTTTATAATTAGACAGTTTTTTGGTTGTCCTTGGGGTACCCCTTTCATTGTTCTTGCAGCTCCCCTTTTACTGTGCCTCTTACGCACAAGGCAGCCCACGTTCACTGTGGTTGAGCAGCAGCTGCCCACATCCCCGTGTGCCTTCACGGCCCACTTGCACGTTATTTCAGGAGGCAGAGTAAAAGGGAAGGTATGCTCCTGTGCATCTCTTCAGAGCTTCATACTCCTGTTCATTTCACTTCAGATCTTCAGCTTGTACAGTCTTTGTGTCCGTCCTTCATCTTCATACTTCCGTTCATTTCATTTCTGATCTTCATATCGTCTATTCTCTTAATGATGCTCATTCGTATGTATTTGTTAGTAGTACAAAGGGAGTGGAGGGGAGGGTGGAGGGTAAGGGATAGAAGGTGGAGCTCCCTAGGAGTATGGGGCAGGGGAGGTAGGGGCTACGGGAAGGAAAGAAATATGTGGAGGGCAGGACAGAGTATGACATGCAAAGAGCAGGGAAAAGGTGTACGACTGCAATCAGACTCGCTTTCTTCTTCACTCCACGTACATGCAAACAGGTGCCAAATCACGCTGGCGCTGTGCGCCCACACCAAGCTCAGAGATACTCAAGTCGAGAACACAGTTTAGTTACAAACTCGCTTCCAACTGGCTATGGCGCCTGAGCGCCCACACATCCTTTGTCCGAATCTGTGTTCACACACTGTTCGCACGCACTTGTCTCTGGATCACCCTAGATATCCCACGGACATAACTCTGCACGAAACATACACACACACTGAACTCTCCTCTCTAAGCTGCAGAGGCTACGGCCGCTTTACTGCTACTGGCTATGGACGAACTATCCCTCCCTTCAGCCCACTTCAACCTCGGGCTTCTGCAGATCACCTCGCACAAGACGCCTGGGCAGCGCTTCCGCATGGCTCACGCAGAAATGAATGAATTGCTGGATGCTGCCTCTTGATTTATACTTCCGTTGGCCACTGGTCTGCCCCTTTCCACCAGGCCCTTGGTGCACACAGTCCCACACGGTACTTGCTTGACTGGACTGAGTGTGACTGGGATGGGTACCGCATGGGGTTGCACTGCCAACTCGACGCAGTTGGACTTATGACTTGCCTACAGACCTCTAGCCTAGCAGTTTCAACCTCTACACAGCTGTAACCCCTACTTGACAGATCTATCTACAGGACCAATGACAAAGAGCAGTCACTACTAAAACACAGGTCGCGGGCTCAAAACACACAGGGGTCTACTCGATACTCTACACGGGTGCAGGTAAGGTCTAGGGATTGAACCCTGGGATCTGCAACTGCTTCTGCAAAGGTGAAAGCCGTTTCACTCCCGCCGACCTAAATTCGAGGTCCTCCGAGAATACTTCAGTCTAAGGCAGACCTTTACCTTTCTTATCTTTCTCGTAGGCTCGGACTATATTGGGAGCTGTCTCTGGAAGTCATGCTCTGGTGAACCAGCGGTCATCTTCAGGTTCTTGATAAGAGAATCTGACTTTGTACTGTTTCTGTGGACGACCTCTACCTCCTGTTCTGAAGACATCCTCACCTACTATGCCATCAATGTCGTACCTTCCATCCATATCCGGAGGAATCATAGACCTTCGTGATGGAAACTGCTGACTCATAGTACAAGGTAACAACTTTGACGCATGGAAAACGGGGTAGTTGTGGAGGTGTGCTAGAATCTCTATCGTGAAGGATGGTCCATCCTCTCCGCCCTTAACTTCTAGAACTGCCTAAGGTCCTGTATATGCAGGTAGCAATTTCTGCGAGATGTTCTCCTCAGGAGCAAACTCTTTTGACTTGACCCAGGCTAAGTCACCTACCTGGAACTGTGAAGGGTGACGGTGCTTGTTGGCTTGTTCTATCATCCTGTGCTGGGCTTTCCTGAGGTTCTCAACAACTGTAGCAATCTCTTTCTCGTGCTGTATCGGAAATTCCCTGGTACCGGGCGGTAGCCTCTGAACCTGGTCCCGGTTAAGTCCCTCAAACAGTCTGCGCGGTCTAAAGGACTTATGCAGTTCGTTGGGAGTGCGACAAGTGGCTAAGTGCACACTATTGTTGTGAGCACTGGCTACCTTTGGGAGCATCTTATCCCAGTTAAGTTGGTCGGGCCTAATGTACATTCTCAGAACTTGCTGCAGGACTTTGTTCATCTGTTCAGTCTGACGGTTGGTCTCTGGATGACGGCCAGATGACATCAACAACTTTGATCCGCAGAGTTTCATTAACTCCTGCCAGTTCTGACTACTGAACTGGGTGTCTTTGTCACTAACTAGAGACAACGGTAGCCCATGTTCACTGACCCAATAGTCGAAAAACTTCTGTATCACTAATTTTGTGCGTGCCTCAGAGGGCAAGGGAACAAAAATGGCATACATGCTAAGCCTATCTACTACGACCATAACTTGGCTCTTGCCATGTCTACTCTTAACACCAGCGTCCATGAAGTCTATAGACACTGAATCTCCGGGTCCTTCGGGGATAGGCAAGGGTCTGAGAAGACCTAGAGGGGCTTGCGTAGTGGTCTTATTCCTTTGACATACTTTGCAGCTGCGTACATATTTTATGTAGTCAGCCTTC